TACAATTTTATAAATAGAAGTTTCAATATTCATGGGATGTGTTGAGAAGCTTGTTCCTCTTCAAAAAATGACTTGTTTTTGTTTATTTTACTAAGAATTTCTACAGCTAGTAGGCAACTTTAAGATATTTCTTTGTTTTTTACTTTGTTTACTTAAAATGTCCGACGATTTCTATTAGTATCTTGTTTTTGTTTATTTTACTAAGAATTTCTACAGCTAGTAGGCAACTTTAAGATATTTCTTTGTTTTTTACTTTGTTTACTTAAAATGTCCGACGATTTCTATTAGTATCTTTTCATTTCTTTTACAAAAAATATTAGAATCATGAATGCTCAAGTTGATTTCTATTGACACTTTACAATGTTATATATACCTTACCTTTATTACCAATATATTTATATGACTACTCTAGTGGTTAAGTCGATTGTTTGCTATCGAAATTACCTGTAGGAAGGTTAAGATTTTGTTTTCTCGAATTATTAGACTATCAGAATTTATACTCGTAGATTTTCGGCTAATGACACCCTCGGATTCAAGCTCTTCTGTTGTGTTTTTGTATTATTTGTCATGATTGTTGTTGTAAATCATGTGTTCATTAATCCCTGAATTCAACATAACAATGTAGTCTATTTTTTTGCTATTGATTTAATAATAATATATATTTATGAAATCTATACCATGCGTCTGAGGTGTTGATCCTCAGACGCACAGCAGAGAACTAAAGTAGTATATATTCAGACACACTTTTAGCCACTAAAGCAATGACGTAAGCAGACAGCATGTACATACATGGAAATACAAATACTTCGTGCCAATTTTCCATGTTTGTGTTATATTAATTTGTTATTTTCCCCGTTTTTATACCATCCCATGAACCCCTAGACTTATATTCTACATCTCCTATTTTTATGTCTCCTAGATTTTTTATAAGTGGGAGCATTGCGGCTTTCATTGGCTCTGCTAGTCTTTTTAAGGCTGTCATATAATTCCCGGGGCCAGATTTGAGCTGGAACTCTAACCAAAGAATTTTTCTCCTTCAAAATTTGCTCTGAATATTCTTTGGGAGGTGTACTCTCCCAAGACAGCGTGAGTGAACAATTTTCTAGAATCCAACTGTCTACTAATTTCTGAGAACAATTCCAACAGGGTTTCATCTGGTGCCATAAAATAGGAGGATAACTTGATGAAGGATTTTAAATTTATATAAAAAGAAACTGTCTAAATAGCTTTGGTTGAGAATAAACTAAAATGGTGAAAATTATGGCTAAATCTTCAAAGTCATTGGAAGGTGATTCAGTACAAAATTTGTCAAAGCTACATTTGAAACTAGCATGAATTGGCATATAAAATGAAGTTGTAGCATATACTCTGGGAACATATTTTTTAATATTAAATACTTATTTTCTTTTTAATAATACCTACGATGCTCATGATTAAATATATAGGTGAATGATGTTACAATCATGGATGTGCGAGATACAAGCAATTCTTAACTCATAAACAACAACAATATGTTTTCGATAAAGTTAAACAATCCCTCACTTATATAATATTACAATCAAAATATGTAAGATATAAACAATTCCAAACAACAATAATATGCTTTCAATATCTAAAGTTCAGCAATCCCAGACTCGTATAATTTTGCAATCAAATGAACAATTATGTATTCATAAGCAACAATATGCTTATTGATATAATATAATAATCAATTATACATTTACCTTCTCATGAATAACAATAAGCTTATTAATGGAGTTGTAGATAGTTTGAATAAAGTACAATAAAATGTAAATATTTAGCGTAGTACTGCTAAAAACAACAATAGGCTTATTGGTAGACTTGTACAATAGTTTAAATAGAATACAATAAAATGTATATGAGAAACTTACATTCATACAATCAGAATAATAGCATTTATTGCCCTGATAAAATATTGTCAATTTATACCAATTATAAAAAGGGACAATATTCTCAGAATCAATAATTACAATATAAACCACTTCTAAAAGATATTAGAACGTTTGATTGCATGATACTAACTTATAATCGGGGCAAAGATTGTATTCCCAGACTCCTAACTCTGAGATCGGTATTTGCAACCAGTGACGTCAAACAATTTATTATATTTTAGAATGCCCCTTTTTTAAAAAAGGTGTAAGCGAGATACAATGACTCACGTCAAAAGCACAGCTCGAGCCTCGGTCATCAATCGTCAAATGCTCGCAACTAATTTTGGTTGGAGTATCCCACGAACTTAACAGCTGCGGAAAATCCTAGTTTCTCTCGCCTACGTGTTGTTGTATATTTTTCAATGTCTCTGGTAAACCTGTAAAAATATACAACAATATCACTTGGTGAATTTGTACTCACCAAAAGGTCACTTTTGAATTTTTCTCAAGGTAGCTTCTCCATCGCCTCTTTCCGTATTTTTCTTGATTAACCCCTCCCACATTTCTATAGAAATATCCTTATATAATTTCATCTGACCGCGTTTATCTAGACCTGACTTTGTAAGATTGCTGAAATATGTCAGGGGAATTGTATTTTTACCCTCAAATCAATAGTCCTGATTTCCCCAGGCTCAATTTCAAGCGAATGGGGGATAAACATATCATATGCCGAGGCAGCTTTAGTCGACTTCTAAAAAATCATTGCATTTTCACCCAATTCAATTTTCATATATTTTCCTTTTTGTTCTATAGAACATCGAGCCATAGCCAATCTGGATTTTCTAAATAAAGTAGGATCTATTATTTGAGAATAATGATCAAATTCTCCAGCAACTGTCTCCCTGGCCAATACGTCGTTCAGAAGGGTGTCATCTGAAAATAAATTAACAAACTCTGACAATGGTTTTCCGCGAGCCTTTTGAAGCGTATAAAGTAAGACATATTGACCACAGACCATAGACAGTATACTTTGAATTTGTCTCTTGTTAAATACATATGATCCGCTTAAATGCTTCAACAGACTATTTGGAGGTCAAAGTTCTCATTTTTACTTGGATCTCTCGCTAAATATAAAACTGTCTAATGCCCAACTAACTTTCTAGAATTTGCCAAATTAATCACAAGAATAGTAGGCCTTGGCGCTTTGAGGAGACGGCCTGGCTATAGTTCGTTGTTGTCTGGTTTATGTAACCTAGATTCAAAAGAAATATAGATTACAATGAAATGATATATGATAAATCTAAATTTCAAGAAAGCTAGGGGCAAATACTAATTTATCTGAGTTTGTAAACTTGTCCAAACATGGGGCATTTCTCCAATATATTCTCTAGAACATAGGTCTGTAGGATTTTCTATTCGCCAACGGGGATCCAAAGTGTCTGTAAGAATAAAAAACATAGATAGCGTTTAGATTCATTCTTTTCCTCATTTTCAAAATTGATAATAATGGAAGAAAAGGAATATTGTTCTACTTTGCTCTCACCTTGTCTATGTCCCAATAATTTTCTTTCTATGCTATTCAGATCCTGGTACATTTCCAGCATCCAAAGCCATGTTGTTTTATATACCAGCATAGATCATTTTCTTCAGATAGGGGGGGTACTTGGGCTTTTTCTTTTTCCATCCACAACTCCCATTCGAGTTGTTCACGATCTTCACCCCAGACCTCTCGCCAATACCGACCCACCAGGTACCCGAAGCTCATAGCGTTAGAGTGATAGCGACCGTCTGGTCTTCCAGCGCAAGGCTCACAATAACATCGGAATGTGGATGGTTTACAAAACAGCAATCTGGCCTGTTTCATGTGGTACATACAATAGTCTACAAATTTCTTGCAAGGAACTTTTTGTTTTCTAGTTCCTCTAATTTCAGGTTGCATTTTAAAATGTGTTATTTTCTTAATATGCTCGAATGTTTTGGGGTAATTTTCCACCAAGAGGGAATTAATCACAGGAATAGTAGGCCTTGGCGCTTTGAGGAGACAGCCTGGCTAGAGTTCGTTGTTGTCTGGTTTGTGTAGCCTAGATTCAAAAGAAATATAGATTACAATGAAATGATATATGATAAATCTAAATTTCAAGAAAGCTTGGGGCAAATACTAATTTATCTGAGTTTGTAAACTTGTCCAAACATGGAGCATTTCTCCAATATATTCTCTAGAACATAGGTCTGTAGGATTTTTTATTCGCCAACGGGCATCCAAAGTGTCTGTAAGAATAAAAAACATAGATAGCGTTTATATTCATTCTTTTCCTCATTTTCAAAATTGATAATAATGGAAGAAAATGAATATTGTTCTAATTTGCTCTCACCTTGTCTATGTCCCAATAATTTTATTTCTATGCTATTCAGATCCTGGTACATTTCCAGCATCCAAAGCCATGTTGTTTTATATACCAGCATAGATCATTTTCTTCAGATAGGGGGGGTACTTGGGCTTTTTCTTTTTCCATCACCAACTCCCATTCGGGTTATTCCAGATAAATGTTGGAAAATTACCTTCATAGATTGTTAATATACCTTCATAAATTGATATTCCAGTTTTCCTATGTTAATCCAATAAGATATGATTGAAAAATCCGATGTATTTCTTTGGGAAATTTTGCACTGTGTTTCTTTCTAACTGCTAACTGGTGAACAAAGAACAGCGTGCAGGAGACGTCAGTGACTGATAACCGTTTAACAGATATGCAGAATTAATGCGCGTGAAGGGAGAAAGATAGAATAAAGCATAATTTCAACCAAAAACAACAGACATACATATTTAAGATAATAGATTGATTGAAATAAGTGGAATATCGAGAAAAAATTAAGCGAAAAAATCTAAATAACAACAGAAAACTATTTCCTTGATTGGCGGTGAAATGGCTGGATATTTCGTTCTGTGTAATTATAGCGTAATCTGGCAGACAAACTTACCAAAAATTTGTTTTAGTGATTCTTCACACTCTCTCCTACAGTCAGAATTGAAGGGTGTCCGTCTATAAATCGCTGCTTTTGAAAACAAAATAAAGCGAGGCTTACTAGCAAAGAGTAGAAACTGTGATTGATTATTTGAGCTTGTATACTCTCAAAATGTCAGTGGTCATTTGAAAAAAGAAAAAAGCCGGGGAACAGAAAAAGGGAAGGAGAGCGAATTTCAACTAATTCCCACGCTTACATCTGGCTATATATTGCTTCCATTTCACAAGGTCCCTCTCCCCTTGCTTTCGAACCTTTTCAGCTTCCTCTGCTTTCCGGAGACTGTTAGCTTCCATGAAATCTTGAGGTGGAACTCGTAAAATGGAGGCTCTTGTCTCTGATCCAGGTGTATATATACGTTTTTTGAGGGGAAGCTTTTCCTTGTTCCACTTCTGCCTCCAGTATTTTTTAGTTCCTGGCAATAAAGCATCGGTGGAAGGGACAATTTCTTCCCTCTTTGTGGGAACAGTTGAAAAATGCTCTCCGAAAAGTTTAGGGGAACACGATGAAGAATGTGATGATGTGACAGCGGCGGGTCTCTTTTCCCGCTTCTGATGAATGGTGTATTTAATGTCTGGTATAGCTAATGAACGTGTGCAAATATACTTATAATCTAATGAACAAACAGGAATTGAACACTTTTTCATTGAATTAAACATGGGATATTCTAATCGAGAAACTGTATATATAATATCTGTTGTTGGTAAAGCTCGACTACAAATGAACTTATGCTCTAAACAACAAACGAGAACGGAACACTTACGAAGATGCTTTTTTGAATGGATAGTCCTACTTTGTCTATTCTTCCTAGCGGGCGTCATAGTCCTGAATTTTGAAGTCAATGAAATAATATTGAATAATTTTATAGTAAGCCTATAGACACCAGCGAATCAAAAAAAGTATGTAGAGAGTGCTATCTGGAAACTGATAACTTGTTGAATTTTAAAATTAATCGTCAATAAGTTATTTGCTCCTTCTACTTCGTTGATCAGGATGCGGGATGAATGTTTCAGCTTTTTTTTCACATTTAAAATACAAGAGATTATGTATGGTTTGGAATACTCCTTACGTCATTATCTTTTGCCCAAATCGGACAGGTTCCTGGTAATCAATGAGGGGGGGTTATAAACTTAACCTGGAAAAATAAGACCTTGAGAAATGATGCTTTCTTATAAGGATCTTCATATCTCATGGAAAAAATGTGCTATATTTTGGGAAATTAACCTACCATCTCCCTTTGACATAAAATAGTGGAAAGTGGCGAGATAGATTAAGTCGGTGTACGCTTTTAAATGAATTCTGGGGGAAATATTAACCCACCCGTTGCAATAACATCTTGTCGTATTTTGAAATTACACAGAATGGTCAGGTTAATGAGAGTGGTAGGTTATACATCATGAGAATAACAAACTTTTCCTTCCCTCATTAACTGCCTCCCACCCTCGAGATTACATCATAATCGATGCTCGTTCCTCGCAACGATTACATAATGTAATCTCGAGCTTGGGAACCAGTTAATGAGGGAAGAAAATAGTTTAATATTCAATAAGAAAACGTTTCCTGCACCATCTATCAATAAGTGAGAAAGAGAGGGTATAATATAGAAACGTATCCTACGCCATCTATCAATAAGTGGGTCGGTTTTCGATTAAGGTTGGGTATATCTGTACATGAGAAAAATCAAATATGAATGGAAGACCTTCCGCTAATTTTATTTTGTATATAATATTTACCAGATATCATATATGAAAAGGAGAAGGTATAATAATAAGTTAAAATAAATCTTAAACTGTTTTGAAAGGTATTTCCCGAGGAACGTTTTGTTTCACTATATGTAACAAATGGAGGGAAGAAATCGAAGAATTAAAAAAACAAATGGAAGACCTGTTTGAAAGTTTAATATTCTCTCTCTATCAATAAGAAAACGTATCACATGCCATCTATCAATAGGTGAGTTGGTTTTCGATTAAGGCTCGCTATATCTGTACATGGGAAAAATCAAATATGAATGGGATTATGAATTAAAACAAATGGAAGACCTTCGACTAATTTTATTTTGTATATAATATTTACCAGATATCAAATAGGAAAAGGAGAAGGTATAATAATACGTTAAAATAAGTTTATTTCATATCAAAAAATATATCTTAAACAGTTTGAGGGGTATTTCCCGAGGAACGTCTGTTTCGCCCCATGTAACAAATGGTGGGATGAAATCGATGGGGCGAAACAGACGTTCCGTTTTACTACTGATATTTCCTGGAACTAATCTCAAGGACTCTGGAAATACAAGACTACTTTTGGCATCAGGTATGAAACTTCCTTGTTCCAAACACCTTGTGCTTAAAACAAGTTCCAGATGAGTTCCAAAAATACTGGCAGGATCCAATTAACCAACATCAACAACATATGTATCACTCAAATGAAAGTATAAATGTAAAAAACAACTCAAACTGTGTGTAATAAAATATCATAAAAAATTCCTAACAAAAAGGTATTTTGTCTGTCTGTAACAATAAGAGTTCTTGTGCTGCTCAATAAATAATCCCAAAAAAGTCATAATTCATGCTGTTTTATATTCAGGAGTTATCTCAAACTGAAGAGACGTCATTTATGTTTCAAGGAACCATTTTTAATAATGCCTATTATAGCCATGATTAAATAAATATATAGGAATAACATGCAATTACTATAAGATACAATCCTCTTTTTATTATAATATACTATAATATTCTAATAAAATGTGTTATACAAGCAAAGATCTTTTTACCATTAATTTTATTTCTTACCTCTATGCATTTCAATAATTTCCTTACTATGATAGTCAATTCTTCATAGTTTTTCCAGTCAGCTCTCTTCTTTAGAGCACTGACATATATCTTGAGAAACTTCATGTTGTTATTCTTTCTCCTCTGTCAGCAGAGTCTCCCAGTTTAAATTTTCCTCGCTAAGGGACCAGGATTCTTTCCATTCGCTCGATATGAAAGGAAAGTTCATAGCATTTATGTGATAAATGTATCTCTGAGAATGTTCACATTGTTTACATTTGCATTTGAATTCGAAATGTTTGCACATTTACAGCCTCATTTGTTTTATGTGATAAACACATTTATCTACAATTTTTTGACAAGAATTTTTGTAATTCTCTTTTTCTAAATTCCAGTAACATTTTAAACTCAGTGACCTCTTTGATTTGTTCAAATGTTTGTAGAAAGTTTTCAGTCAAAAGTGCATAAATAAAATTGAAGACATGTTTCCTATTTAACTCACTTTTCTTAATATAACATTTCCATTCATCCTTGCTTATTTGCGATAGATAGACTTTCATCTGATATCATGAAATAAGAAAATAACCTTGAATGACTATAAAACATATAAATATTAATTTTCTAAACAACCCAGGTATACAATGTGATAAAAATGTAAAAATTACACTTGACTTTCCAAGTAGTCCAGCAGAATGCTTGGGTAAAATTTATCAAATATACAATTGCAATATAGACTATCAGGTTTAAAAAACGCAATTGTAGCATTTACAATTTTTTTAAATTAAAAATTACCCCTCATTCTTATGATACTTATCATTGCCATTTTAAAGTATCGCTTATACAACAGTTAAAATAATATCTGGCTAACTATTTACAAAGCTAAAAATTATTCACTTCTAGTAAATATACAATGGGTAAAATGATATCCAGCTTACTATTTACAAAGCTATTAATGTAATCACTTCTAGTAAGTATTGTTGGATTATACCATTTATAAAAATACAATGTTTTGTAAACATTAATCTTACAAAGCTATTTAACTCCATATTAATGCAAATAATTATGTGCAATTTTACCAAACTAATTTATAGCCAAAATCTAACCACTTCTAGTTCATAATTTTACATCAAAAATCCCCTAATGAATGCAAACAAAAAATATTGTCAGCTTATACCATTTATAAATACAATATTTTTTTATAAACATTAATTTTACAAAGCTTTTTTGATTATTAGAAACTACTGTTATAATAAAATCACTTCCAGTCATCATCATATCATATCCTGATTTTTTGTTTTATCCTTAAAAGCATAAGGAGAGCTTTTTTTTAACTGAACCATTATTTTAGGTCTTAACAATCTTTCATTCTGGACTACGTTAATAAACATGTTTTCTAACATTTCTGATGGTATCGATAACTAGGGAAGATTGCCTAGTAACCCCCAATGCTGGTTATCTTAAAAGGAACGCATTCTTTTCCCTCTATACTGGTCTATAGTTACACGGTAAAATTAATACTTGGGTGAAGTATCTGGGTTTATTAGACAGCGGCTAACATAAATTCCCTTGTAAGTAATAGCTAGAGCCAACAGTGTTAACAAATGTTTGTAGACCACATTTTTTAGCTGAGACCAGGTGTTAACTAACCCAGTTTTCATTAAATATTCACCTAAACTGAGAATATATTTGAAATATATATGCGAACTTATGTTTGGAAACCTCATTTCTTGGTAAGAAGGAAACATTTTACCTAGAACATTGTTTAACACCATGATAGTTGTAAAAACAAACTACTATACTGTAAAAGTCTAAATTTTCAAGGTGCCCTAATTTTTCCTATTTTTGCTAAAGGTTAGTCTCTGGAATTAAAAACAAGATAAATATTTGATTTATTTAACACTGAATTCATTTTGCTATTTCTTCAAACAGGGAAATTAAATGATCATGAAAACTTCTCTGGTTGATAAAATACTATTTTTGTCAGAGAAAATCTATGTTTTTACAGTAAATGTTGTTTTTGCCAGTTCATGTGGGAAATTTTTCAAGGGCACCTCAGTAAATTTAGTGAAGAGGTAACACTCATTTAAGAACTAGCACAGATCAGGTAGGATTCTATTAGTCGTATATTTTGAAAGTATTCTCTTATTGAAAATGGGTAACTATTCAAGTCTTTCCTTTGAATATGATCAGAGATTCCATACATAGGCTATTGATATACTGCAGCTAGGTTCAGTCAGTGTTGTTTGACATAGATCATCTTTTCTACATATCAACAGCTTTGTTTAACACAGATCATCTGTTTTACATATCAACGGCTCTGTCGGTTATCCTTCCATCATTTAGACAATTGTGACATGTTGCTTATATCTGTAAGTATACATTTAGAACAAGTTAAAACATGCTATGCTCTGCTATAATATCCTTCTAGAATAAGCCATATCTAATTATTTTATATATGTAAACAAGCTAATTTGACAACTGGGTTTGATCTGGAGGCTTTCATAAATGCTATTTTTGAAAATATTTTATGGAGGATACATCATGCAACAATTCCCATTAATTAGAAACTAAATCCTCTTTTCAAAGGGATCTATAATCAATTTGATGACACTTGAGTTCCAAAAAGTCATACCTAGGAACTGATTTAAATACTTTACCATAGCTGGCATATATTCCTTTCTGCACTAGAGCTTAAATATTTTTTTTATATTTTATGATTGTTTTAAATATGATTCCTGAGTCTAAAGGTTCATTTTTTCAGCATGGATAGATCATAGAGATTATAGATCACAGATTACAAAATCAAATTCATCCAATGAGCTTTCTGTGCAAGGTTGCTCCAGACATTCAAGGAAGTATAACTGAGCCGCACATTTTGGTATTTCTTCTGAATACATACTGTTAGTGATTCCATGATGTCTGAAGTCGGTAAACCCCTGAATCGATTCTGTTAAAAGCCCAATTTTATGAGATGGAAACCTTCCTAGCAAAATGCTCATTAG